GAGGAAGAAAGGGTGATTTTCTGCTGTTAAGGTGGCTAAGCGCGTTCTTGCAGAGAATGTTCTGAGTAGGGGTACAAGGGAGTGAAGTTCAGCAGAGCATCTGCCGTGGAAATGCCGTTACTTTGTGCGAGTAAGCTACGTGTTATACTTAGATAAAAGTCGCCTGGTTTGGATAGATTAGAATTAGAAATGCGCGGCCGGTGTGCTTTTAGGGGCATACTGAGTGGCACCTCATTTGAGGAGACCTGAACTGAACTGACTAGAATTAGGTCGTTACAGCGAAAGGCCACAGCAAGTAAATGTTTATGAATGAAAAGTCCAAATCAAATGCGATAGGGCGAAAATAAGGCGTGCAAGAAAACATAAAACAACATTTTCTTAGGATGTACGCATTGTAAACGAGGATTGAGGCGACAAAACATCACATCACAGCCAAAAAGATATTTCATTCTTGTATTCAAGATTACCTTCTATCTTATACCTAGTATTGTTTTACATAGTACGAAAGAAATGAGTTAATGATGAAAGTTTGTGAAAATGTTTGTATTCCCATAAACGGTGGGATGCGGAAGTTAGGTTTATGTGTTAACTTTGTAATTCGGTACATAAATCCATTGCCATCAAATAGAACACAATATTGCTTTTGCAAATGAACAGATTCACAGATACTCATAGGATAATTCAAACTCTACTAGACGATAAGTTACGGAGATAATAATCCGGACGTTTCGAGTGACATCCACCACTCTTCTTCAGCGTCACTAATGAACTACATTGTAACAGAACTCGATAAGGCATATATGAGCAACTTATTATTCTCCTTAATTTATCCAATAGTAGAGTTTGAATTTTCCTAGGAGTACTGTTTACCTGGATGTCTAACCTTCATCAACGTAGATTCACAGATAGATTGATACATGAATAGAAAACTAACGGGCTGCTTATATGCATAGAGTTTAAAGCCACGTAAGACGTCTCTGCCTGGAAGTATTATCCTCCGGAGCAAGGTCGATTGCTCTGCTGTCAACGATCATATCGTGGCCCTGTCTACATGGCCTTGCTGCTGGCACTCTTCACTGCAGCTGACAGAATAGCGAGCGGTTGGTGGTGGTACTCCTTGACGTGTTGCTTCACTATTACCGCAAAATGACCTTGGCTGCTTCAAGGTTAAGCGCTCCATGAATAAGACTGAGGCAGCGTCTCGTAGTCATATATGGATATACTGCCCATTCTAGACAGATACGGATCTTTCTTTACTATATATAGCTGGTCGTTTATATGCACTTCGTTAGGGGGCGAACTGTACAGACATACCAACATACATGAACAATTGTTCATGGTGAATCGCTAGTTTTCGTCTTTTTGCACTAAAAGCTAAGTGGTAGACAGATATCCTTTCAAGGCATCTCCAACTTGTACATCTTCAGCTACTTACGGCACACAGGAGCAACGCGGACTATATTAGATTAGCCGAGCTATAACGCACTTAACCCGTGATTTGCCCCGTCTCCTATATCTGTCTCCTCCAGAGACTATGTAGGCAGCATTGTCGGCGCCCAATTGCAGCAAACCGTCAAAGGCATCCAGTGCAGTTTTTAGGGCTTGGAAACCCGATTTTTTAGAGCCAATATTCTAGTCACTTATCTATATACTAAGTTGAAACCACACTATCCCAGTGACCCTTATGGAGCAGAAATTCTCAAAATTCTGACGGAAAATGGTTACTGGAAGGGCCCTTTCCTGATTTTTAGGGTATCACCCAGAAAATAAAAGGACTAATGTTGGGGCTTGTTTCTGCAGTTTTAAAGCCCAACCTATGAAATGCTGTCTCAAATCTGCCAATGTGATGCAGTATTTGTCAAATATCACAAAGATTGCCTTATTCAGAATATTTCCAGTTTTGCTGCCCTGAAATCACATAGGATGCCTTTAACGTACTGCGATGAAGAGTGCTTGAACATTCTATACGACAAAAACAGAGATAGAGCTACATAACTCTTGAATAAGTATGCATTTAACTCCAGTAAATGGTTGAATGAGATACAATCATTGCTATCGCAATTGCGCGCTTATGGAAACTACGGTTAAAGTACTGGCGGGTTCTCTTTTTTGAGTGTAAAGAGTGCGTCCATTCTCTATCGTCTCCAGAGATATGTACTTTTGCCCAAGCCGGGCCATCAGTTTACATATATGCAGCCTTTTATTACTGCAATGTTTTATCATTCGCTTTCAAAAGCTTACTTAAGGTTTCCCTTGACTGGGCATGTTTGGGTGATTTGGGAGCAAAGTATTGGTAACAAAGTATATGCATTTCATATCCTCTGATATTAACAGCAACTAGCTATATATGGTTTGATATTGAAAAGGCAAATAAAATTAGTTAATAATATCTGGGCCCGTCTGTACTCATGTTTTTAACTATAATGCTCTTGTGTGTATTTTTATCTGTATGTTTTCTTTTTTATTGGCGAGTGATGCATTAAGTAAATAAATCAAGAAAGAAAGTAACTAAAGGCTTTTGATATATGTAACGTAACATAGTAAATATCTGATTGGATGAATCAGCTGTTAAATTATTTGGCAGCGTCTTTATGAATACCCATGTCAATTTTTTCATTCTTTGGCCAGTCAGGAATAATAGCCCAAATGTTCCCTAATAAAAATATAGTATACCTATTGGTGCTTTAGTACTGTGCATATGTAATGTAATACCTTTAGTACTGTATATATGATACTAAATCAGCACACTGCTAGACACATGTTTTATACATTAGCATTTTACTGCATATGCTTGGTCTAGGTCAAACCATGTTTCATTCATAGCCATGCTGCCATGTAGTTAGTAATATCTAAAACTGCGAAAAATTGCAATAACATGCAAAAGTCTCTGTCGTGGGAGGACTGTGTCGGCATTTGGCCTTATCACCAAATTCCCTACAGACTAAGTTACATGCCAACTAGCCATGAAAAATTCATTTGCCGAAAATGCCTTTCTAAGGTCACACCACTCCTAGCAATTTCCTTTGGTGGTCCTAATCCCAGAACCATGCACTGTCAATTTGATGTGAAAGTGCGAGTCAGAGGTACCATAGGGGATCTTAATGCCAAATTCATTTTTCATAATTCATTTTACAAACTCATTCTAAATTACCTAGCCTATCCTTCACATTCCAAACTTTTAATTTATTTATGACCATAGCGAAATGCGATATATATATGTAAATACAGTTATTCTGACAAATGTTTTAAGCGACATAAAAGTAAGTTTGAGTAAAATATGAACCTAGAATATTTAAGTAAGTAATAAAGTAATATTAAGTGTAATATGATAATTCAGCTTGAAACACAGGCTTGGTAGTCCCTGAAAACAATTCGATCAACGTTGAACAGACTTTCAACTTGTTATATGCTTCATGAGACGATGTTCAATAAGCCATAACTTACTGAATATTCTGATTGAATGATATAGATATTCACATCCAAAACTTTTACCGCAAGTCGTTAGATAGATGTATAGACACAGGCACAATTGTAGACGCCCAGCTTCGTTTGCGCAAATGGCCTGATCCTACTGAGTATTGCCTGCTCTCCGGCTACTGGCAGTCTTATGGGGAAAAAATACCGACTGCTAAATGGTTCTATTACGTTAAGATATGTATCTAAGCACTTAAACATTCAAAGACAGTCGTTTGAAGCAATAACTCCAGTTGTGCGCGCAGAAAAAGCAATTGTCTTGTCAGACCAAATGTGCCCTGAAGGAATTGTTTGAAACATGTAGGACTAACACGATTGTTATCCCATCTATGTGGTAATATGCTGTAATACAAACTGTTGGGATATTAAAAAAACGGGACTTTCACAAAGATGTTCTCATGTGTCACTTTAGAAAATGTTGGGAGGGGAAAAGCAATAACTAGTCAAAATAGTTAGAAAGGACGGTTATCTATTAGTAAGATGAAACTCTAAATGAACAACCCAAACCAATTCGTGTAAACTAATGACAAAGATGTCTTGGCTGGTATGTAGATCGAAATATGGTAAGAAAGGTGTTTTCATTCCCAAAACGTACCTGATTTTCCCAAAGTTGATATGAAAAATATATGAAATATATTCTAAAGTTGCGCTCTTACCGAAAAAAACAATAACCTGACATTACACATGAAATGTAGCGAAATAGGAATCTTTGAAGAAACAGTTTTTGTGGAAGTTTAATATAACGCTATAATAGGTGTCCTCTTGTATTCTTTATGAGTCTTCACTTTTGTCTGTTGCCTCTATCTTTGAATTGTCAATATTTCAATACTCCTGCGTCACACGATATTTAACAGCACTTTTCCCCGGATATATCAAACTGTTGCACTACATGTAATATCCCAAATTGCCCATTTTCATGTAGTTGGTAATGATTTAATACCCCCTTTAGGTGTAACAATCTAATTTCAACACTATTAGTAATAAGCGAAGGTGGATTATTGCACAGTAGTGCAAACAGTGTGGGGTAGATTGGCATTGCGGCTGTAAAGATTTGATAACATAGCACTGCAGTTACTAGACTGTAGAGGAAAATTGATCGCAAGTGGTAACAGCATGACAGAATATTTGTTGATTTGACTTGCTCATACATTTGTACTTATGTTCGTAATAATTAGATTAATTGGTTTGATCTTTCTTTATTTGTTCAGATAGATGATTTGTATTCTTTCATTATTTCTTCGAATTGTTTCTGTTTATTTCCTTTTTTTGTCTTCTTTGTTTAAATTTTTTCATTCAGTACCAATGGTAACTTATTGTATTTATACTTTTATATGTTACTTCGTGCTTTGCTTGTCCAAAGTATTATGTATTGCCTTATGTTTTGGTGCCGACATGAATATAAGTGTAACTTGAGTGTGTCGTCAACATGTTTATGTCAGTATATTTAAAGAATTCATATTTAAATAATTTATATGTTTCAATAATTAAATAATTATATGTTTCAAAAATTAAAGAAAATTACTTACCCTGATGTGTAGTCAAATTGAAGGAGATTTCTGCCGTCAGCAGGCATGGCAGAAACACCAGGAGGTCCAGAATCCTCATCTTGGCGTTCTCGGTCGACCTGTTGGAGTAAGCGGGGACATCAAAGCAGCGTCCTCCCTCCGCTGGCAGCTCCTATTTATGGGAAAATCGACGAACCGCGTCGACTGCAGAGTAGGCAGAAATGTCAGACGATCAGTCTTTATCGTGCCAAGACAGCTGTACAGAAAGTTCGAAATGGAACGAAATGAAATGAAAGAAAAGAAAATATGTACAGCTATGTCGATGAAGGTTAGACATACGATACGCCAAAAAGCAGTTAATCAAGCAACTGGATATGATTTTGGAAACGGTCAGACGTTTCAGATAGTATCCACTAGCTTTCGTCAGTCACTGTCAGTCCAGTTGCTTGAGTAACTGATTCTTGGTGTATGTTCAGCTATGTTAATACAGTGATATGAAATACATGTAGAAATATAAGGTAAGGAACGTTAAAATTTAAAATACAGAAGGAGATTTTTTTGGGTGAAGAAATTAGCCACGCAAATACAACATAAAGTTATATTAAATAGTATTGGATAAGTTACAGAAGTGAAATACATCAGGTTATTTATTTGCGACTCACATTTGTTTTGAAAACTTCATTATGTTGCATATTTTATTCCATTTCGTTGATGAAGGTTATATACCCAGATAAACAATACTCAAAGGAAATTCAAACTCTTCTACTGTATAAATTACGGAGATAATATTCGGACGTTTCGAATGACATCCACCACTCTTCTTCAGCGTCACTGATGAACTAGTAGAACTCGACAAAGCATATATGAGCAACAGTTCCTGGAAAAACCGGTTGAACATGAAAAAGGTCCATTTATTCCATTTCGTTTTCTTTCGCACTTTCTGGGGACCCATCTGTAGAAAGCAACAGCCGTGTCGGGACGGGCTCTTCACGCCCGTCTGCCGGGCCAATGTTCCATCTATCAAGACGTCCTTCACTAAGTGTTACCGTGTTCTTGGCAAGATGACACCGCGAAAAGGCGATTAATTAAATACAAAAGGTAACATTGAAACCGGCGTAGAATGGTAAAGTGTTGACAGGTTATAGATAGTACTGCTCCTTAGGGTCATGCAAGGACATGGGGGAGTTCTACGGGAATATATCCATAATAACAAGTAGAAATATGTCTTAGAATTGTTGAAACGATTGATCAAATGAACAGTATATGTAACTGGATATTCAAAGCAACATTATGGTATGTGCATGCGACTGACATATAGACGGTGTAATATTTTTTACTTAATCATCATCGATGAAGGTTTGGCTGCTCATTTTGTATTCACATTCACATGGTATACATGCAAATGTAATCTAAAAATGTACGCTATGTTACATGGTAATGAAATATAGAAAGCAGTAGTCCAGGAAAGTGCAGTATTCTATACTTGGCATCTAGTCACGTATGCCAATGTCTATATAACAAAGCATACTTTATACGAGGGGTGATCCAAAAGTTCTCGGCCTCACCTAGAAAATAAAGGTCAAACTCCAGTTCTTTGGTATAACTGTATACTATGACGTCTTACATCACTGCCCACAAAAATGCAAATTTTTACATTCATTAATTAGCACGTGACGCCTTGTGAAAATGGTGTAGGTGAGGGCAAATCACAAAATGGCCGCACCAGAAGCGTGTGCTGTGGTCAAGTGTATCGATAAAAAGCTATGTCTCTTAGGGAAATCCATAAAGACATGATCAAGTCACTTGGTGATGACTCCCCTTCTTATTTAACCACAAAGAATTGGGTTGCTAGCTCTAAGCACGTCAAGTAGAGCACAAAAGATGAACATATGTCAGGATGCCACAAATCAGCACCATGGACAATCCAGTTGAGGCCATCCATCACATGGTAGTAAATGACAGATGTGAAACTGTCCAACATGTAGCAGGTTCTTTGGCCTGACTTGTAGTACAGTTCATAATGTTTTGTCGTACATCCTGGGGATGAGCAACCTGTCTGCATGATGGGTGCCTAGAATGTTTTCTGAACATCACAAGTCAATCAGGCTGGGCATTTCAAGGAACGAATTCAGTCCATCAAGGCAACTTACTCAAACGATTTGTCACCCAAGATGAGACATGGGTTCACCACTTTCACTCCGAATCAAAACAGCAGAGCAAATAGTTGATAAAGAATGGTTCCCAGCATCCCAAGCGAGTTTTACCCGTTGAAAAGGTTTTTGCCTCTGTTTTCTGGGACAGTGAGGGGGTAATCATTATTGACTCCCTGCAAAAGGGTCAAACCATCAATGGAGTGTACTGTGCACCAGAATTGCGGCAGTTGAGGGCAACAATACAGAAAAAAGGGGAGAAAAGCTCCGAGTTGACGTGCTGACAATGCACCTGTCCACACAGCACAGTGGTCAGTGGCAGCAGCAAACGAATGTGGCTTTGAAGTCTTACCCCAATCTTCCTATTCACCTGACCTAGCACCGTGGGTCTTCTACCTGTTTTCTAAACTGAAGTTCCAGTTACGTGGTCAACGTTTTCATGGTGATGATGGCGTCATTGATGTGGTTTAGGCATTTTTAAGGGCTTCAGACGAAATATTCTTCCACAAGGGAAAGGAAAGCTGGAACATCGCTGGACCAAGTGCATTGAAGTTAGACGAGACTATGTTAAAAA